CCCACACACAACTCCAACACCCGCCCGCCACCACAACCAAGCCTCCCCTTCCTTCCCTGCCAACCCTTCCTCCACCCCCTCTCCCCTCCTCCCCCCCTCTCCCCTCCTCCCCGCCTCGCCCCTCCCTTCCCCCCCTCGCCCCTCCCTCCCCAGCCCCACCTTTGATGTTCTCCCGGAACACTCCATTCCGAATGGCGTCCGCCAGGCAGCCGGCATCGCAAAACTCCATAAGTATGACCAGGGCCTTCTTCAAGGAGGGGCCGGGGGTGCACTGCGGGGGACAGGGGGAGGGGGGAGAGCGGGGGAACTGGGGGGATAGAAAGAGGGGGCTCGAAAGGAGGAGGGATGAGGGAGGGGGGAGAGGGAGGTAGACATGGAATATCAGGGGTGTATGTCTCTATGTGAATATGGGCGCGTTGGCGTAAAAATGCGGCTGTGTTTGTGTGCGTTTGTGTGCGTTTGTGTGTGTTTGTGTGTGTTTGTGTGTGTTTGTGTGTGTTTGTGTGTGTTTGTGTGTGTTTGTGTGTGTTTGTGTGTGTTTGTGTGCGTTTGTGTTTGCGTGTGTTTGTGTGCGTTTGTGTTTGTTTGTGTATGTTTTGTGTTTGTGAATCCAAGGAGAGCAGCTGGAGACACCACCCGCATGTTCCCCCCGTCAACCCCCCGCACACCCTCCTCGTCAAGACAAACCCTACACCCCCGTCACCCACCCGGGCACTAGGCCAAGACAGACTGACAAACCGGTAAACCCTGGAAACCCTCACATGCCGCCCTCCCCCCGACATCCCACCCAAACCCCACATCACCCAACCCCCCAACACACTCACACACACACATATGCACATATACACATATACACATACACACATACACACATACACACATACACACATACACACATACACACATACACACATACACACATACACACATACACACATACACACATACACACATACACACATACACAAACACGCACATCGCACCTGCTTCTGCCCAGTCGTCCGCTGGACGCCAGCTGCCGCCGCAATCGGTCCAACCCCGCCCCCACCCCCACCCCCGCTGCTGCTGTCAGTCCCATCGGATTGCCCATCGGGACTTCCTCCCGTACTTCCAACCCCCCCGCCGCCGCTCCCGCCCCCTACATCCCCACACCCCGACAGC